AAAAAAAAACCTCAGTAATAACCTCAATGATAGAAAAATAAATTAAAAAACAATTTTTTTATACCTAATTTGCGTGCACACTGTTGCATTTTATTTGATCCAAATATAGTTGTTATTTCTGCTAAAGCAGTACAGTCATTTGGAGAATGAAAGAATGGTTGAGTACCACTAAGAATACATAACATCATTACTCCGCTTGCCCAAATATCAACTGCTGGCGTTTGGGAAGGATGTTTTAGTAAAACTTCAGGAGCACGGAAACCTGGTGTTCCAGCTCTTGGAGCTGTCTGTTCTGATCTTGATATACATAATGAACAAACTTTTGCTTTACCAAAGCAGTAACATTTCTCTTCTATATTTTTTTTTCTTATATCAAAAGAAACATTTAAACTGTTCTGCAAAAGCATTAAAAAGAATAATAATATGTATATTATACATATGCATATAGAAACTTCTACATAATTTTTCGTAAATAATTGATATATTACTTCATCTGATCTTTTCCGTTTAGTAACTTGTGCTTCAGAATTAAGTAATTTAAGATTGTTAGATTTTTTTTCTACTACATATTCTTGAGCCAACCCAAAATCAACCAACAAGTATCTGCAAAAAAAAACATTACAATGATATATTCATATCAAAAAGAATTTATGCTATGTTACCTTTTGTTGTGTCTATCATATAAAAAATTACTAGGTTTAACATCTCTATGTATAATATTAAATTTATGGACCCTTCGTAATGCAGTTAATAATGCAATCATATAATCTTTTGTTTCTTGTACAGTCATATCTTGCACATATTCCTATTTAATGTTATTAAATTGATAAACCCTTGTTTGTGATATAAAACTAAGATTAGATGAGACAAAAAATATCTTACCGCAAATCTGTCATGCCTCATATATGGCATTACAAATACTACTGTTTCAAAACTTCTTAAACATAACTCTAATCCAACTACATAATCCTTTCCTCTAAAAAAAGGAATTGTGATTATTCTTTTATATACATATCGTTTAAATTACAACCAATCAGTTACCCTATTCGTTGCATGCATTGTAATTCTCGCTCAATTTTTTCAGGATGTCTAGTAGGAACTAAATACTTCAATGCAAATTTTTTAGAACCATCAGATAATTTTAGAGTGGCTAAAAACACAGAACTGAAAGTTCCTTCTCCAACCTTTTCATGTATATGAAATAAATCTTTTATCAGAGGAACTATATTTTTAAGAGTAACATTATTTTCTGAAATGACATATTGTTAAATGTTTATTTTTTTATTACAATTTCAGTCAAATTTTGGTAAATGAAATTCCTTACCATCATTATTTGTCTTCATTTGATTTTTTTCTTCCATGATCTTAATGTATCATTTGGTCCTTAATTGAATCAAACAATCAAACTATTTAAAGATTATTTAATTTGATAGATTATTAATTTTATTATTTAACATTGAAAAATAAATTGTCATGTGTATGATAACCTATTAGAGATTAGATATTGGCGCCATTCTAAGAACGCCATTCATTATTAAAAATATTAATAACGTAATAAAACAAATATATTGTATTAATAAGAAATGTATAGATTTAAAATGTAATTATTATATAATTTTATTATGTCATGATGAAAAATTTATACGTTCATAATCACAAATTATGACAAATATTAATTATGATTTTACTTCTTAGATTAATTTCTATATTTAATATGTAAAAATGTAATTATTTCAAATTTATTCACATATTTCACAGACTTATAATACATATAAACTTTTTGTAGAAGATTTTTTAGAGAATATGAAAATTATTGGGTAATATGTATTTAGGAATTCTTATACATACAATTGTATGCATATGTTGATACGTACATGTGTACACAAAGTAAAATTGGTACAACCATTATTAAAAGATATTTCATTTCAATGTTTATTATTCTAAATATAATATTAGTATACGCAATTAAATAGCAATAATAATTAATATACAATTAAAATACATTTTAATTTATAACTTAAAAGAAACTCCAAATTTCTTTAGAATACAGGTTAGAAACATACTGGTATCTTAATTGAATTATATTGATATATTTTTATTTATTATATTTACATAAAATTTTTTTTTACAGATTGCATAAATATATTTAAGTATATTTAAAGAAGGAGATTTTAATTATTCAAAGCAGTTGAGATATGTGTTAATCTAGCTGTGTTTATCATAACGAGTAAAAAACATTGAAACAAATATGTCTAATACTAATTCATCAAAATCATCAACATCATTGTTGGAAATAAGTGAAAATAAAACTATAAGTGACATGGATTTAGATAACATAGCTCGTTATGTTATTGGCACCCAACAAAGATTTCGAGAAAATATTATAATTCCAAGAACTGTGGGTCCCGTACAACTTAAAACTAATGAACAGAAATTAATAGAAAGTGCGATGGAAAGTTGCATCTTCAAAAGCATTGCGAGTTGTGTCATAGGTATATTTATATTATACTGTAAAATAAGCATTATCTATATTGGTATAATTAAAAGAAAATTAGATTTTTAGGGTACGGCCTAGGAGCTGCCATAGGTTTATTTTCATCCAGTGTAAATCCAAATGTAGCAAGTGTTGAGAAACAGCAAACTGTACGTGAAGTTTTTAGAGAGATGAAAACTACAACGCTAGGTTATGCAAAAAATTTTGCCGTAGTTGGTTGTGTATTTTCAGCAATTGAATGTGCAATAGAATCGGTAATAATTTATTAAATTCAATATAAAATTGTAGTTTAACTTATATTTATCTATATATCACAGTTTCATTTTATAATTTCATTTTAGTATAGAGGAAAAAGTGATTGGAAGAATGGAACATATGCTGGTGGTTTAACAGGAGGAATAATAGGATTAAGAGGTATTATTTTATGTTAAATTTAAATACTTGTACTTAAATACAGTCTTATATTTTAGCTGGTGTAAAAGCAGGTTTGATTGGAGCAGCAGGTTTTGCAGCATTTTCAACAGCAATAGACTATTATATGCATCGATCTTAAACAATGTTATAAATTATAGTATAGTAAGTATATATTTGTATAAAAAAAGTATAAAACACTTTGAGTATACCTGTACAATACATGTAAAAGCACAAGAATGTTCTTAATATAAAAATGCATACATATGACTATAACATACATACAATTATAGAGTTAAGAAATAAAATAAATTCACATAATACATCAATATTCATTTTACCTACAGATCTGCACTTTTTAATACAATATAAAGTTGAATTCTTTTGAAACACAAATGAATTAAATGACTACTAGTATATGTTAAGTAAAAATAAATGCTATTTGAATATAACATATTGCAAATACATGAAAAACTACATTTTACATTTAAAACTGTTTATCACAGCAAAAAAAAATAAAGTCTTTAATTTTTGGATATATTGAATGATTGACAATTTAATATTGGCAGTCTTCAAAATGTTTTATATAAAAAAATATACATAGAATGTTGGAAGATATGCAAATTGTACATCTTTACTTATTTTGTTGTCAGTTGTGTAAAATATCAATCTTCATAAAATGTCATTGTATATATTTATCTACACAATTTATATAAATATCCTTCATTAGATTCATTA